ACAACTCCTATCTCTAATTACAGCTAATCCAGATGGCCTGGCCACCCGGTCAGCAGAGCTGCCCACAGCCCCAGCGGAATGCCTCAGACCGACGTACAAGTTTCGAGAGCTCGACTGCGCCAGCTAACATAGAGAACAACAACAATCCAGCACAACTTCAGAGAATCCAACATACGGATCCCAGCAAAACCCGCAAACTCGGAATGAAGCGGCGCTTCAATTTTGACATTTCCACACGTGTTAGACATCGGTCAGCTCCATAACTCTGCTCTCAGACCACCATGTAACTAGATATCAAACCTTTTCTCTATGTTACTATGGTTTTTCAACCTTTGACCTCACCAGACCGTCAAACGGATAGTGGCAACTAGCTTCGTCTTGCTGATCTCGACAATTTCTAGTGGCAATCTACCGCGTTGTCAAATAGTCAAATAGTGACCGATGTTGATGTAGGAGCCTTACCAGGGTTATACCTTCATCTACAGTGTCCATCGTTAGCGAGTAAGAGGTGCCATCAAAGTCAAAGATACCCTTGCTCTCGATGATGGAGTCATCATTCGAATTGAGACCGTCTGAAGAGGCTGGCTGCATGGGCTCGCTACTATGTCAGCTTCAACATGCTTACGTGCTACGATAGCAGGGTGGTCGTCGAATGACGCACCTCTTCTGCCAGAATGGGCGAGTCCTCGGTTACGGGAGTTCCTGATGAAAGGTGCCATTGTTCCAGAGTGGCAAAACGAGGTATCACATAACTTACTTCCCACTCTATTTCAGTAGGATATTCAGTACTGCATCATCACATTTATACATCAAAATTTGCGTTAGGTAGGTGATACCTCATTATCTTTACCTGGCCAGTTCGGCGATTGGAAAACCTCCTGATAACGAGGAGTTTACTCCTTCCCTTTAGCAAAGCAAAATCATACCTTGCGTAGACAGATCATTACAAAATGTTAAGCTTCGTCAAATCCCTGAAGACAAGCTCCGAGGTGTCCCTCAAAAAATTCATGGTACCAGGAGAACAGGCCGGAGGGGGAGATGATTGGGGAATACCTCAAAAACTTACAATTGCTCGGGATGATGATCAATCAAAGCCCATCCTCCGCGTTCCTCCAGCTTTTGAGGAAACGTACGACCTCGAGAAACTACGATACCCATTCAAAGTGCAGTTCATGGAGAATCTCCCGGCACAGATGATCAAGCACCTGACTGAAATCATCGGGAAGAATTCTGTTAGCTCGGACTTACGCCTTCACTGGAACAAATGGAAGTCCACAGCCACTAGGCGGCTCTTTCGGAACAAGTACGATATTTTAGACCTCACCAAGCATAGCTGGCTTCTGGTGGGAATAGCATTCAATATCATCCATCCAGATGATGCCTGTTTGCTTGATTTTACCGAAACCAAGGATGGCCGTGCAAAGGCTGACATTCATATGAGAATGCAGTCTTCTGGTGAAATAATCATCTTGGAAACTGTTATCGACCCGAAACTCGGGGAAGAATATACATCAAATCTGGTCAAGCTAGCATCGGGTGAATTGCAGTCGAGTTTTGAAGCCGATCTACCCGATGGCTTTGATGGACATGAGGCGATTCTCGCAAAAGTAAGGTCTTCTCCTGGTCCTGAAGCACACTTTTATAACCAAATCATCTCCCCTTTAGCTATCGTACGAGGCTATGGAAGATTGGGGAAAGGGTCCTCGTTGGGCAATCATTTATGGTGGCAATCTGTACATCCTCTACCTTGTGGTCCCAGTAGTAGTGGGTAACACAAAGAGATGTTTGTTCATATCTTCAGGAGTGCTTCCTATCGACAGCACCGAGCATCCTTATTTGGCACTGAAGCTTTATATGATGCTATCCTCTCGTATACCACGCGAAGATTTAATGACCTTATTGGGTGTCCAAGCACCTTTAGGAAGCACAATCCAACTATCAACAGAACTCTGTGGCACTAGCGTAGGCGGTGATTGTGCCGAGTCCAAACCATTTGATCGTGAGTATCTATCAAATTCTCTCTGGTGTTACTCATTCGTGCAAAGTTTCGAGACTTTTTGCCGCCAATCGGATCTGTTTAGCCACATCTCCTGATCCGTCCACGGAAGTTCTCCTCGATCGTCTGATGAATGGAGAACAATCAGACGTGAATGACCATGGATCCCACTCTGAATTGCTCAAGTTCTTACTGCAACCCCTGGGAACTGGGAGCACCAGCACTATCTATCGATCTGGTAAGGCCGTCTTCAAGGTCTCTGGTTTGAAACACGAAGCAGATATAGAGAATGAAGCTCGGGTTTACAACTATTTGATGCAGACCAGCGCATCGAAGTTTATCCCGACATTCTATGGCTACTTTGGGAATAGGCGTACCCGAACTATAGTCCTTTCTGATGAAGGACTGGTTACAGAAAACCTCAGAGATCTCCCGCAAAAGATACAGTGCGGTTTAAAGCTCAGACAAACCGATAATACCTAACTAACCTGTTCACAGAGACGATTGCTTCGAAGCTCTTGTGGAGATTCATAAAGTGGGAGTGATTCATGGGAATTTCTACTCAGCTCCAATATTTCTCAATCAATCTGGACCGATTCTATTCGACTTTAGTCGGGCATCTTTGGGACACACCTGCCCAGGAGTATTGGAATGTGGCGAGCTGTTTCAAGCCCGATACGAATTCCGTTGAGATATCAAGATACAGTTCAATTCCCATTCCCATTCCTGGTTATCATACGTTTAGTCACGGAAGTATCAGTGACTACCCCTGATCAGTTTTTTTGCTTTCTGAAGCGAGTATATCTAAATTCTTATCCAAACCAATTGCACATTAAAGTTACCCAGTGGATTATTGAGGTCAACTGAATAGACACACGTGATTCAGCTCCATAACTCGCCCCCTAAACCACCATGTAACTAGATATCAAACCTTTTCTCTATGGTGCTATGGATCTTCAACCTTTTGACCTCACCAGACCGTCAAATGGATAGCTAGAATATGGCGACTAGCCTCGTCTTGCTGATCTCGACAACTCCTAGTGGCAATCCATCACGTTGTCAAGATAGTTAAATAGTGGCTGATGCTGATGTAGGAGCCTTACCAGGATTGCCTTCACCTACAGTGTCCATCCCGTGCAACCCTCCACCACAAGTTGGACTTGGCCATGTCCACAATACCTGCTTTCCCGTCTAACTTTGAAAAGGCACCAGCGCCTTGGAACCTCAAGGCAGAAGCATGGTGGTTTATGCTTTCACTTTACGGAAAGAACGAGCAAGAACTCTCTCCAGGCTGGTTTGCACCGCTGGAATCGAACGCGGCCGAGATAGCACACGAGCCAGGAGCCTACAGAGGCGGTTTGAGTGTCGCTTCACTGATACGGTATTACGAGAGTCCTGTGGGTCCTTGTGGGTCACTGTAAAGATGGCATATTGACGCATACTGATGCAATACAGATG